TAATATCTTTATGTCCTAAATCATTGCTTTTAATAAACGCTGGATGCGAGGCGTACGGTAGGATTCCATGATGTACCATAATAGGTAAACTCTAGATCCTTTGGAAAGCTCAATTTGCTCATTTTCTCAACCTTATTTGTAAATGCTTATAAAGTCTGCAATTTTTTAAGAGTTAGTCAGTATGGGAATCATTACAAGTTAACCCATAGCACATCGATTTTGTCCTCCATACTTTTACCTGTACCTGTACCTGCTTCTGATGCAACCTGGGTAACATTATGGTGATGAGACGGCAAAAAGACTTAAGGATTGGCTATTCCCGCCAAGATGCCTTCCAACAAGTATTCGGTTACTGAAAGAGGAAAAGAGGGATTTTGATTACTTTTAATAAGTAATCGTAAGTCGGCTAGTTTTCGGAAGTAAAATATTAGAACTTAATCATTAGAGTAACTAATTAATTATGTTTTTATACTATACAAGCACTATCTTTTACAATATTACCCGAAATTACAACTAATTTGTACATCTCTGAGGCATAGCATGAAGTTTGGGTGCATAAAGAGAAATTAAATCAAATGAAGATATGAACATAAACCGTAAATAATAATTAATACTAATCCTTAAATGATCTTTATGCTAACAGTGACTTGCAAAAGATGAAATAAAATGCTGATAAGAAAGCAGTGTCTAATATTGACAAATCATAATTAAGAGCAATAACTAACACTATTTTAAAATATTCCAAAAGCCTATTCTAATTTAGATATAAAGGAAATCAAGTGTTCTTGAAGGACATTGTACAGAAAGAGGAGGTAAAAAACATAAATACCATTACAAATTAAGAGCAATAATTTACACTAACTTAAAATGGCGCTCCAAAGCTTTACCATAATTAAGAACCTAACCAACCTGAAAACATTATCAATAAATCATATTTAAAGTGGAAAACCAGCAACGTGTCTTTCAAACGCTTCGTAATATGGAATTATTTTACTTCTCTTGAGAATCTTCTTAACACGAATTTCCTAAAACTTTACTTTATTTCCTTAAGACTGACGTCTTGAAACTTATGATTATGCGAACCTTATTTTCTTATTCTCTTACTTTAGTGCATTGCATCGGCTAATAGTTAGAAAATACGAAATGATTGGTGTAGATTTGAAAAAGTAACATATTTGTTTAGCTTATTCTTCTCTAAGGACATCACGTGCATTAAAATTAAATACGTTATAATAAAACTAAAAGAGAATCAGGCAGCTATACGGAAGTAACTGTTGGGTTTTTATTATTAAACGTAATTAGAGGAGGCTAACAAATGTCAAATTTTATTGAAAAAAATTACGTTTATTTACATCCTTTAGATTCGTTGTTGTTGTTAATGTCGTGTCCATGATGAGGTCTATTCAAATTGCTGCATGGGCGAAGGTGACAATCCTGCCAATCTGCAAAACGTTATCAATGTAGAGGTAAGATCTCTTAAAGAAGTTCGCAATATTCAACAATTCAGCAAGTATGGATGGCCAATCAAAAATTTGTGCAGTTGTCAGTTCTGCGCCCGGGCAGTTATCACAGTTTTTGCATGTTTCGTTGCATTCTATCAATTTTCAATCCTCTGTAATGGCCAGTCTGTTAAACTATGATATATATGTGCTTGGATTCGTTAATTGTTTTTTAGTTAAAAATTTATTTCAAATTTTATTTCCTATAAAATTCAAAATATCTAGCTGCAGAAAATGTGCCTGTAATTAAATGTAACTTGAAACAAATCTTTGAAATAGACGGGTAAACGTCTTATCACTGTGTCTGAGATGAAATAGAACATAAGAAGAGTGTAACACACCCTTTTATTTAAAACTAAGCAAATTTAACAGAAGGCACTCCTGGTGCTTACTCAGCCAGCATTTATAGCGTACACTCAAAAGTATAATTTTAAATTAAAATTACATCTAAGTATTTATTGACTAAAGGGCTACGCAGAGAACGATGAAGTTTGCTCTCAAGCCTACAACGATGTGACAGCATTATCAGCAAGAATAAAGCAACGCTGTAGACAGGAATACTTAACCTAGAATAAGAACTAGTTACATGGCCCTCAACAGGCAGAGCATGTTCTATCTATACAAACCTAAATAGGCGTGAATTAATTTTCATTTCGACAGGAAAATAGAAAGAGAGAATTGACAATACCACTCGAAACATAAACTAATAAGGTTAATTAATATAAAGAAAACCTTACAAAGTACTAATATGGTATGTGGATTGTCAAATGTCTGCACATGAAACACATTACATGGAATTCAAACTTTTGCACAGTAAAAATTAAATTTGAAACTTATATTTCTTTTGGCTACGTTATTCATTGGCAAAGATCTCAAAGAGGAAATATTTAATAACATTTAGGTTATAAAATAAGACGCCGAACAAAGAAAATGCCAAAGTGCTAATATTCGCACTTTTGCAGCTGAGGAAAATGTTTCGGCAAAACCATTGAAACTAGTTTTTTTTTCCCTTATTACGTGCTCCGCCCTTAGGCACTGCACGGAAAGAGAGGGATGCCCGTGGAAATTTTAAGGAAAACTGGCTCGTATACACTTTACACATGGGGAAAACCACGAAAACGCCCATGCAGCCAGCCCATTCGCCGGGACTCGAATCCCGGACCAACTACCAGTGTTCAGCGGCTTTTATCACTCGGCCGCTGATTTTTGTTTGACTTCTAAATTAATTTAATGATAGTGGAGTATTTCACCTGATTTAAAATATTTGTATGATCATCTTCATTAATATAGCTTTCTTTTTCCGTATAAGCTCAGGTATTCACTTCTGAGAAAACATTGTTTTAATCCTTTCATGAGTCAACATTTAAGAGTGACTATAATTTACATTTATGTTCTAAATGTGTTTCAATTCGGCATTTAAATGTTGATTTTTTTTCAGAGAATTCATTACAAATTATTTATAAATCTTTTTTACTTAATTTTAATAGAATTCTTTAATAGCATTATTAAAAAGTTTTAAAGGCCTTGCATTTCCGTTTTAAATTTTCTTTAATTTGTTTAGTATTTGGCTTACTTTTTCACTTATTTATTAAAACGTTTGAATAGTCATCCAGATATAGTTCAGAAACGTGGCTGTATTGAATGTTTTTCGGCTGCTCATTGAAAAGCATTTTCACTTTTTATTTTATTAAATTGTATTATAATATTTTTAGATTCTTTTATTCTCCTAAAAAAGCTATCAGTCTGGAAACACGATTTTGCATTGTTCCAGTCAAGTCTGTTGCCATTCCGTAAAAGACAAGATATTATTCTTTCATATTCAATATGTGTATTGTTAATTAACAAATTAAACTATGTAAAAAGAGTCCATGTAATTCTTAAGGATATTATTTTTTACTTTTAATCTTACTAATTTAAATAAAAATGCATTTAACTCATGATATATCTAACTAAAAGAATTAAATATTTTTATATAATTACATTAACGTATTTTTTAAGCATATGTTTTACCATGTTAGTCTAAATGCATATTCACCTAAAATCCTATTTAATGTTTCAGTCCTCCACTTGGATCATATCTATCGATAATGTCTACTGGTAAACTATATTATACTAAGAGAGTCCTTTTGAGCGACTGTTAAGATATCTCAGATTTTTTTTTTAATGTTGTTACTTTTTTTGTTCTTTTGTTTTTATTTCAATTTTTTAATTATTCCTGTTAATTAGTCAACTACCGCTTTTGATTTAAATATTATTTCTTGATTATTTAATTAACATCACAGCATACTATATGAATTTAATATTTAATAATCTTAATTTTAAAATTTATTAAAATATATAAACTCTTGTTATTATATACATGTATTTTATATACATATATCCTAGCAGCTGTACACTGTTGTTTATATATACGTATATCCGAGTAGCCCTGAATTTAATGAGACTTGTATGATCAGTTCTTTCAGAAGTGAAAACGTTAATCATGTTAATGCTTTTATTGCAGTGAATGACACTGAATTTATTAATTTTTTTAATTCTTTTAAAGAATCTGGAAAAGTGTTCATATTTTAATCTGGTATTATAAGAGATCTAATTCAGTGATGTCATGAGTTTTATTCCGTGATATAATGGGGCCAGTGAGGGGAATGAGGGCATTTCCTTAGTTGAATGACTGTTATATTTGTTAAAAGGTAAACTTTGATTGAATTCCTGGGTAAAAGATTAAGCAAAGAATTTTATGTAATTAGTTTTTGCCAAAATCTAATCTATTTAAGCTGCGCATAAAATTAAATTTGATTCAAACAGTAATTTAACAAATTAATTTTGTTACAAAGTTACTTAGAGAATAAACTCTACTTTCATTGCGGATGTCTTTATCCAATAAAGAAGATAATTATTAAAATGACGTTTAGAAAAAGACTGTTAAGCTTTTTAGAAATGTGTTTAAAATCCGAATGAGTTAAGGAAGCTGAATAAAAATACAACGTTTGAAAACAGGGTACATTATCTATTGAAACAAAGCTGACATTGAGGTTATGTCTCTTAATAAAATCACATATTTAAAGAATGACAAAATTTAAGTTTCCATTACTATTGGTTTATAGTTAGGAAGTTAAATGAAGTCTATATTGCACATATTATTTTATCCGTACTAATTTAAGAGTAATTTGAAAATTTTTAATCCCATTTGGTAAGGTTAAAATTTAATTATACTAAAAATTTAGCAATGTTGGTAAAAGCCTTTGAATTTTTTTTTAATTTCATATATGTTTCTCTTTTTGTGTGTGTGTGTATCTGATCTATAAAAAGACGTTTTAAGATCAGATTACTTTCTTGGAAGTCTTTACAGTCACCAAAATACCAAGAAAACATTGGACATTTCTTGGGAAGGGTGTCAAAACAGATGCTCGGATGGAAAATAAATTACAGGCAGCATTTTCTTTCGAATCTTCACTGCGACTAAGTACCCACAAAATAAAAAAAAAGGAGACGTGTATACTCTTTTTTCTCTTCAAAAAACATTTAATACAATACACAGATGTTCACGAATACTTCCAACATTTGAAAGAAGACATCATAATTCTTTAGTTTCTTGCTTCCTGTCTTTCGATTTTCTCTCCCCCGCGAGGTCTGGATAGGTACGCTGTACTGTCAAAAATTCTTTATAGTCTAGAAAGCCGTCGTTGTTACCGTCATGGTCTTGAAAAATGTCCTCCACCTGTTCTGGAATATCGAAACAAAAGTTAGGCATAAGAAAACATATCAAAGTCTGTGGAGATCATACCATCTCCTTTTTAATTTTAGAACTTTAGATCTTTTATTATCTTCTTCTACCTTATCTGAATTTCTGAATCTCAGTGGTAGATGTCAAAGCAAAGTTACTATTTTGATACCGTTTTAAAACTCTGCAATCCAGGGAGAAACCATTTTTTCAATAGTTTATCTTCAGTTTCAAATAATTATTTTACATTATTAAATTTATTTTTCGAAGTAGACTTATCTAAATTGTGTTTGGTTTCTTTTCCATTTTACGAATTATGAGAGAAACGGAAATTCAAGTACTATCCAAATCACAAGAGAATCTCAACAGAAAACTCGTTTAACCAAAATGATACTGAATAATTATTTAAACAAACCTTTTAAATTAGCTAATTCTTTACAAATTAAAACCTATTTCATCATGTAAATAGATAGTTTCTGAAAGGGAGCACAAAAAATTATATTTTACAGATTTGTCGCTGTTGTATAAGCTAATGGTTCAAATTTCATACTTATGCGCCAGAAGACGTCAGTAAGAAGAGCTTTATCTCTTATAGCGAACAACGATCTCCTCAATATAGCATCACCTAAAAGCTACTGAGTTACATATATGCAGACTATTATGAGACCGTCCATGACATTACAGCTACATCAGCGTAGATTGTAATGTTATCGTAACAGAACTTCATGTATCTTTATTGAATGGCAGTGAGTAAAACGCACCATACCGGGTAATCTGACGTCCAACAGCAAGCTGATGAGATCCTTCGGCCCTGTCAATTCCGAACATCCTCTCAACTCTTTTTCTATAATCATGAAAAACTGCAAATACAACTTCACAAAGTTTTAGGTGATTTTATGTTTAATCTATATGGGGTTCTATTTTATGTTTATGTTCTATCGTTTGGGTTTTGAGGTTTGATTTTTGTTTGGTTTTCTTGCCAAATTTTAATTATTCCCAAAATATGAGATTGGTTATATGTTATTTCTTTGGCTCAAAATGATTATGTAAATATGTTTGTGTTTTTACCACCTGAAAATCGTGGTTCTGCGTGTTCTCGTGATGCGATTGTTTGATGAGGCGGATACGCGATATTTTTAAACTGAGATATTTATGAAGGCTTTACTTCCGATGATGATGTTTTATGGGCGGAGTGATAACATTTGTTTTGAATTGCATGATAAATATTCGTCGCAGTAGTCTAATTTGACATATATGCGTTGGCTTAACACTAAAGTTTCCAAACATTTTTTTGCCGACCGAACCTTCTTCACTGCGGGCACCTTTTTTTGAAAGGAAAATGCGGATAAAAAAGTAAGAAGCGGGCTTTGAAGATGAATAGACTGCACAAAATTTATCAAAATACCCAAAATGTCCGTACATAACATTAAAATAATTTACGCTGTCCACTTTTTTAGGGAAACTTGAAAAATTTATTTAATATCAAACCACATGACCATTTACAAGGGGCTCTGGGAAGAAATACTGAGCGAGAAGTGCGCGTTTTAGAGTCAGAGGGAGAAAGGGAAAGACGAAAAACTAAAAAAATGCCCTTAAAGAAGCAAATTACTTAAATTGAGGGCCACTTCCCGGGGAGGATGGAGAGGATAAGTCAAATAAATCAAAAAAGGCGCGTCTGCCCGAAAAAAATCAGAAATTCATCAAGCCGCGAGGGCATTTTGTGAAGAAAAGGGCGACCTTCCATTCTAATTTGGTGAAGAAAATTCACCAATTCTCTCACAAAATAGGATTATAGCTGTCTGCCCTGCATTTTGCTTATTCCTGTGATGGCAACCTCTATTTTTGTTTAATTATTATATCTTGATTATAGGAAAAGTGCGGTACCTATCCATGAAAGGTTGGTTGTTGTGCGAGGAAACTGAACAGTTGACTACCAATGAAGCCAGTAATATGTTATGGAAAATTATAAGATATTTTGAATTTTTGTTTTATGCTTTTATTAATAAGTTTCTCTTTTCTGAATATAGATGCATTTACACTATAGTACTGTGAATTTTATCATGTAATTTTCCAAATTTATGAATAAAACATTTCATCAGAAATGACAACTATAATGAAAATATTTGCATTGCGTTCATCAATGTCTGATAAACGAAATACTTAACAACTTGTATTATAACATAAATAAATAAAACGTTTAAAAGCAAATTTTAATGCTAATTGCATTTAAGATGCCTGAAAGATTAATACTTGTTTTTAATATAAAACTTACAAAAATGAGGTATATTCCCATTTATATGAAAAAAGGCATTACTTTATTGAGGCAAAAAATCATAAAATGAATGAAAATAATTTTTTGCTAAATGCACAGTAAGTTTATAGGCTTCTCTTCAGACAACTGGGATTGCATCTCTGATACCACACCAAAATCATAAATCTAGAAAATGATTTTTTTAAATAAAATTTGTTTACAGCTTCGACTGGCGTTTGCTTTTCAAAAAAATAAAGATATGAACGCTACGTGAGAATACTTATGTCTGATGCGCAGGTAACATATCTAGCTTTTGGAATACTCTAAAACACCGAAAGGATTTAAAAAATATACGCGAAAGAAAGCAAAATATGCAGATGCATTACTTTTGGCTGACGCCAATGGCCTTCATCTAGTACCTAATATTGATAAGATATTGATTTTGCTATAAATAGTTTATCGCACATCTACTAACGCTGATCCCAAAGTATTTTTATCCTCTATTACCTAAAGATACAAAAACTTAATAAGCTTGTTATCTCCCTCATCTGATTTTAAAAAAAAGTAATTTCATTCCTTTTGAGTTGGGTTTCTCGTAATGATGTTTATATTTTTAATTATTATTCATGTAGCCATAATATCAGTATCTGTATTAACACCGAATGACACAATAATATCAAAGTTGCCTCTTAGTTGGAAAGATGAAGAATCCTTACAGCATTTTAATAGCTAACGGATTAAAAAAAATGGAATCTTAAGAGGTTGAAGTTGAAATGTAGTTGTTCTGGAAATTCATTTTTACATACAGTTATCATTATATGGAATACGAAAAGCAGCTCAAGCATAATTAATAGAGTTAATATTTCATGGAAAAATTTCAGAGTATTTGTTTGCAATATCATATTCTAATATAATATTCTGGAAACTTTTATACATTTCTAAAATTAAGTTTATGAATTTGAAAGAGAAATTTACAAATATATTTACCACAGTAATCTCGCTTGAGTTGTATGAATAAGATTCCTTAGTATTCTAAAAGAAGTAATTGGAAGCTCTATCTTTGTCTCTCCAGAAAAAGGAAAAAAAAAACAATTAACTAAGAAATTTGACTCCTATAGAAAGGCAAATATTTATATATATTCCTTTTATCACTTTTCGGCCATTAAATTTCAATTAAGTTGAAATAAATATTCAATAGTTTTCATAAAGGAACTGTATAGGTCTACGGAAATCACTACGGAGTTAATGGATAAACATATGTAGATCTCAAACGAATGATTTCAAGTTTTTTTAAATTACTCTAAAGCGCTCATGAAAACATTTGATGTTTTATTATAATCAGTAATCTGTGAAGCGGAGGAAAGAAAACAACTCTTAAGATGAATCCGAGAAATCTTAAGATGAATTGCAATCTTAAGATGAATCCGAGAAAAACATTTTGCACAGTAAATAATGATGTGCCGATCCTTTATATCAAGAGAGCACGAACAGGGAGAATGCAATAATTCTTTACATTTGCTCACAGTTAAATATGTATTGGAGAAGTGAACAAGACTCTATATCGACCAAATACATGTGGTGAAGAATTACAGTCCATCACATTTTTTAAATATTGACTCTTGTGTAGACCATTCGGTTTTTAATAGCCAAAGAAACGAGACAAATAAATTGAGCCTTCAATGGAATTCGAACCAAGATCTTTTAAGTTGGTAGGTAAATGTGCTAATCATTTAAGTCACAAAAGTATGCTAGGGATATTTTAGCACGCTTATCATTACGTTTTTTTTCTAGTACGTTTTTTCTTCCTGTTTGCTTCAGGTAAGTGTTGTTGCAATTACATTTATTTCATTACTTTCAAGGGAGTTAATAATAATTATTATAATATAATAATTCAATTCAAATGCTACCGTATATTATCTTCATTCTCCATTTTTACTATTAAAATTTATATTTCCTCTTTTACATTTCGAGAGAAGATTTCTTTTTCGTTTACTCTTTCTTAATCAGTAAGCCTTTCAACGCTCATAAAAATTTACATGAATTAATGTTATCTGTTATCTAATATAACTCGTTGTTTCGGTCTTTCGTTTTTCTATTAACAGTCTTTCTTTTTAATTACGAAGAGAGTTAGAACATTAATTTCTAGCACGACTTGCTTAGGCTCCGAAGAAAAAGTATTATTAAACTGCAATGAATCATTGACTATTCATTTCGCTTTGAGTCTTGCTTCACATTTGCACATCGTTTCATTTTTGTCCTAATCCTTATCTAGTCATACTAAAGGAAAAAAAAATTATGCAGCCTATAGCTCCGATTATACATCACGGATTCCCTGGCGTATTCATCGATATTTCTTTTCGAAGTTTAAGCAGTTTTTCTGAAAGATATTTCTTTCTTTTGGTAGCATGCAGATGTTGAACATTTGGAATAACGTGAAAAGAAGAAAGGAAGACGTGGGAAATCTCAGATTGGACAGTTCAATTCTGGCTGGTAGATGGAAGAAGAATGAAGTTAGGACTCTTGATTGGAAAGCTTAGCATAGTTAATATTTTTTGACAATGAGGTTTACACTTTTACTCTTAAGTGGATAGGTTTCCATTTTTAATATTTTCATTGTTAATCTTCTGGAGGCTTCATTTTTGTGTCATGTGATAAACATATGTTTTCATTAGAAATTAACTTTAATTAATTGTAAATTTAATTAAAATTTAGTTTGCTACGCTTTAAAAATGAAATGTTTTTTATTTTCCT